GCGGTCCCGTATTTCCTCGCCGGTGCCGGGGCAGGGCACGCTGCTCCGGTACCCCCGGCCGGAGGAAGGGTGAGCGGGCCCTCTCCCTGAGCGCCGCGGCAGTGGCGCGGAGGGTCCCCCCGGGGAAGCGCGGGGCTCCCGGTGACGCCCTGAAGTAGGTCCCGGCTGTGCCGGTCCTTCGCGGACTGCACTCCCTGAAGGGCGCAGGTCGAGACCCCCAGGCCCAGCAGGGGTGCCCGGGTTCGCATTTCCTACCGCATCGCGCCTTTACCTGGTCCCACACCCGCCGCATTTTCCCATCTTCTCCCTTCCCTTGTTTTCCCTTCCCTCTTCACTTGTTCCATCCCTAACACCTGGGCTGGCAGGAGGCTGCCAAGGGAGGTTTCACATCTACAGAAATTCCTGCCCCGCCAGGAGCTTGAAGAACAGCAGGGAGGCGGGTGTGTGGAAGGGAGGTAACACAGGTATGTAGACACGTTCCACGTTTTGTTTTATTTGCTGCCAGCGCCTCAGGAGGAGTGGGCTTGTGAGAGAGCCTGGAAAGCTGAGCCATTGTGGACGAACTATGGGAGGTCGTGTCATGGTGAGGGGGAGAAAAGTGTGGTTGAAGGGCGTATGGCTGGGGAATGCTGCTGGAGTGTGGAAGCGGCAGGGACCACGAGGTGCTCAGCAGAAAAGGGTAGACTGAGGGAATGCAGTTAGGCTGTGCTTGAAGGAGGACAGAGATTTGGACATGCTGGAACAGCAGGTGAAGGACAAGGCTGTCGAGGAGCAAGTGATGTGGTCACGTCCGCAAGAGGAGGTGCTTGGCCATCCGCACCTTGCCTTGGGTTGCCAAGGAGCATTGTGGGTTTGGGGTGCGGAGATGAGAACTTTGCAGTAGTTGTGGTAGGATATACCAAAGAGGCCTAAACAGCAGATTTATCTGTGAAAATGGTTAACAGATTGGTCTTGAAGCGGGTGGGGTAGAAGGAAGGCCCGGGAGCTGTGTGTTATTTGTGTGTGACTCATGGAAAAAGGGAGGGAAGATAGTGGAAATGGGGAGTACGGTACTGCTGTCAGCAGCGAGAGAAAAGGGAAATTGAGGCTAAACCAAGGCAACCCTGCACTTCAGCTAGCATAAACTGATGACAAAATCTGCAGGAAGAGATGCCAGACAGCCGCTTGAGCACTGGGATTGAACAGAGGCAGAAAGGTTGATGACAGAAGGAGAAATCTGAGAATCACAAGCACAGAAATGCTAGCTAAAATCCTTGAGATTGCCAGACAGAGGGCACAGAGGGAGAAGAAGGCAGGTCTGTGAACCCAAGCCTGGCATTAAGAAGGGAAAAGAGGATGATGACTCATTGACAGAAATAATACAAGTGACAATTATTTTGTAATCATAGTAAGTCACTGCTTTTGATAATAATAGATCTGGGGATTAACGGGAAAGCACCGTAGGGTAGGTTCTGAGAGTCACGAAGGCTGAGGAAGGCAGGTGACCCAGAAAAGAGGTTTAAGGACCTGTGAATCCTCGGCCAGCGGGTCTTTCCGGCCACATCCACAACTGTAGATGCTCTTTCCCAGCTTGTTAGCTCCTGCCTTCTGTGCCACCTTACCCCACATCAGTGATTCTTCTTTCGGAATGTCAGTGTTGAGATCTAAGGTGACTGCGGAGATAAAAGGGATCTCTTTCAGCTTCTGTCGCTCCAGTTTCCCTTCTTGTCTGGGTGTCTGCAGGAGGGTGGCACAGGACCTTAGGAGTCACCTGAAAGTACGTGTTAAAAACCAGAAGGCTTGTTTAAGGGTAGTTTTCATGGACTCAGGTGGAGAGGCCACACTTGAATGACCTGCAAGATTTCTTTGAAGATACTAAAGCTGTAACTGATAAAGGAGCTTTGGTAGAAACAGAAGAGTTGGATATTTCAAAAGACATGTGAGAGGGCCCCAAATCAGAGATTGATAGACAAGCGGGAGCTGTGAGATCTGGAGCAAGATAGCTGCTGAAATGGGAAGATCTCTTAGAAATATAAATTGGGACATGAAGTTCCTATGTTATTCTGATGTGGAAAATTAAAGATAACATCACGTTTGAAGCTTATATTGAAGTTTGAGAGAGAAAGCATTAGAAAATAATATCTTTATCAAACAAGGATCGTGGCACAAAATAACTGCATATTAAGACACAAAGACTTTGCTTTGCACTGTAAATTACAACATGATTTGCATTTGTTTAATTAGTGATAGTTGATACCACCAGATAGGTAGTTGCTGATTTACACAAAAGGAACATTTTAAATCAGTCCAGCAGGTGCTGTGTATCAGCAAAGTTTTTCTTTAAGCCTCTCATATAATGATATAAAATTCTGGTTTATTTTTAAAAAATAATTTTCCATAATTGGAAATGTTTGGACTATGATAAATGAAACCAAATTATTTTCAAATATCTAATTTGTGGACAAAAAATTTCCGTGGAAGTTTGTTTAATCTCAAACTGTATAGTGGCACTTCTGCCCCCCTAGTCCCACTGAAAAATAATGATATTTTAACTATTTTTTAATCTGGTTTATATTTGATATTTTTAAAGATTCTTCCTGACTGCAGAAAAACTGCTTATGCGGACTTGATATCTCAAACTAGAAGCCTCTGTGTTCAGGTGCTGGGATGATGAAGGATCTCTCCTCACTCTGCAAAGACTTCCAAGGCTATAATGAGATTCCATAATCCCCCGTGAATGTGAGATGAACACACGAATGAATTTGCCACAGTCAAACATACCCACACTCAGTCTTTTTGGGTTTGGAATAGCTGCGTGTCTCCTCTATGCCTTTAGACTTGCCTTGGAGCCAATACAGTCGTTTGCAGAAGCAGGATCATGCATTTGGTCACTCCTATAACATTATTGACTTCAGCTGAATTAAAGAATGAATAAAATGAATGGATGAGTGAAAGTTTAGTTCCCCTGTCAATGAACTGATACCAGTCCTTATGGGTGTCTTCTCTACACCGGAAAGTGAAGTTAGGCAGGGAGGACTTAATTCCTGGATGTACACATCCACCTTCACATTACCTAATTTTTCTGTGGTATCTCTTGTCATTTTAAGTTTAATTAATAATTAATCTTACTAAGTTTTACTTGCTAAGAAGAACTAAACCAACTTTAATGGTGCTGGGAGACCTCTGTGGGAGGCATGGAGTTGGTGGGTTGTTCAAATAGTTCACAGTATTCTGGTACAGCAGCAGGAGCACGTAATGTTAACAGAAATTCTTAAAATGTATTAAAAGACATTAGGCTTGGAATTACATTTTGTTTCCTAAGCTGACTCTCACAACTGGTGAGAGATTTTGATGATCATCTACCTTGAGCTGGGGCTGACCAAAACCTGACAAATGGGGAAAATACACTGTAAAGTTTAGAAAGACCTTTCTAAAGGCCTCCCTGGTGGGAGCCTTCTGAGAGGCCAGAGTTGCACAGCTACTACCCAGGAGAGTAAATATGCGCTTTGAGCTGTCCTGGTAAAGTCATTTGGTCTACTTATAACTTTAGCTGTTCTTCTAAATTAACATTTTTAATGTTGACAGTGAAAGAACAGCTTTAGGCCATAGGTCTATTTTAGTGTTTAAACTACTGTGTAACAGAAGAAGAGAGTGAGTCCCCTTACTAATTTTATCCCTTGTGTTAGGTCACCCCACAGTCTCCTGTGTTCTGATGACACAGGAAGAGTAAGTCCTTCTTTCACCTCTGTATCTGGTGTCCTGGGATCACCTTTGTTGCCCTATGCTTCAGCATTCCCAGGGTAATAATATATGATGAAAGGTATAAGGTTGTCTTTCAGACAGAAGTCTAAATTTTGTCTAGAAAGAAAAAAAATCGTTTGTGGGTTCACACGCTATTGATTTGTTAAGCCAGCTGCTCTCTACTTACTGCTTTAGCTGAGAACTGCAGTGATTTCTAATATAACTCCAAAGGAGCTTTCTTCTCAATGTGGGAGATGACTGAGCATACATTCCCTAATATTCCCAAACTTAGTAACTCGTAACTTTGGAGTGAAATTTTAACTTTTTTCCTTTTTTAAAAAAAAATTTTGTATGAAGATATTTTACCACTTATGGGAGATGCTTTCCTGACAGATCAAAATTACAGACTGTTGTATAGGCACAGAAAGCACATAGGGAAGCTTTGCTGTATGCTTTGGTGCTTTCCTAGTAGAACAAGAGTGTCTCATTCTGCACACCTCTAGCCTTTGCATTCACTGATGTTCCCAGCGAGAATACCAACAATGGTGACAGCTAACAAAGCACTCACTTCTGAAATTTAAGCCAAAGTCTGAATTCCTCAGCCTGTTAATATTCAAAGAAAGGGGTTGTTATGAAAATCTTGTTGACCAATTCTAACAAATGTAACAATATAAAGAGGGAAAAGAGATGTTCAGAGTGTGCAACTATGAATACAACTGGAGAGCACATTCAAAATGTTTTAAAGCTGGAGGAAACCGAGAGGGAGAGATTTATTTGTAAGAGTTATAATCTCAAAACAAAAGGCAGACAGGGCTGGAACACTGGGTTTGCTGTGCTTGAATGCTATAATTCAGTCAGTGCTCTCTTGTATTAAATTCATGACAACTCAACAGTATTTCAATGCAGTTCTTTACCAGTTTTAGATTACATCATGCTGTGAATTTCTCTATCTGTTAATATTGATCCTTGTAAATCATTTGGTTTGAGGCCTTCAAATGGACAGCTGTGATGCGCTGTACTCTGTCCTTGAAAATAATTTTAAAACAAACTGCAGTTCCATAGATGATATTACTTTTTTGAAAGGTTAGATTTACCCCTTTGAACTGTCAATATTTGGATGAAAGCCTTCCATGGGAAGAATGAGAATGGAGGAGAAAATAGTTTGTTGGTGCTTGTTGTTGACTGGGGGAGTCATAGCGGTGCTGCATGTCTGAAGAGCCCGATTCAAAGAAGCCATGCTGCTTTTAATGAGAGTGGCCAGAGTAGAAGTAGTTATGACTGACTTCTAGTTCCTGTATTTTTATCTAGCTAGATATTTTTCTTAATTACCTAAGTTTTGCTTGAATATGTACTTCATTTTCATCCATGTTCTTCAACTGTTGTGAGGTTTTGCTGTGAGTTCAGAAATATATGCATGCTCTGCCTACTGGGTTGCATTTTGTTCTCTGTCCATTCATTCTGGGCTAACATTTGATTATGAACGAAGGTTCTTTTTGCTCATCAGAAAGAGTGCTGGTGTAGAAATGTCAGTGTTGGACAGATGCATATCAAATAGTGAGATAGATGCAAGTTGCTCTGGAAAAAAATGGAAGTAACATTGTGATATGTTAGAGATCATCACCGGTCTTTACTCACTCCATTAAATAAGAGAAACGCCCACCTGATTCCATTTGGGTTTTGTGAAAATATATGGGAGATAGAACTGAGTAAATATGGTGACTGGGATTGTGCACATGAGCAAGGTGAGCTGCTGCTTGCTAAGGGACTAGGGACGTTTCCAAACTGCCTTTCCTGTAGGGAAAGAGAAGATTGCTCCTCCCTGGCCAGAGGGACAGTAAGCACTACAAAGAACTGTTGAGCTGTCTGTCTTGCACCCAGCACCTGCTTGAATCCAGCATGGAGCTGGACTGGGTCAGGCACTGTGCTTCTCTTGCAGCACATATATTGATCTGAAACAGCATGAGTCTTCTAGAAAAACTTTAGCCAAGACTCTAGTAAAGGCGTCAGGATTTGTCTTTGGTGAGGCGTTCCTACAAACAGAAATAATAGTTCCTCAAGAAATCATGGGGCTAAATCACAGCAAAATTTACTTTAAGTAACTGAAATCAGGCATACAGTTTGGCTAATGCACCACTTAGTTACAACGTGCAGTATAGGAAGGGTATAGATTTGTCTGTTGTCTTTGTGCTGATCTAGGCATAATCCAACAAAACAAGCAGCTGGTGCTTGTTAGACAAGGAAAAGCCAACTTATACAATTGGAAGGTTCATGTAAACACATTAAAAAAACATGTCTATGGAAGCTGCTAAATATGTGTTACTATGAGCTGAGTGCAGTCATCCTGAAGGCTCTACATCTCCATTTCTAAAAGAGTAAACAAGTGCACATAGATCTGAACTATTTAACTCCTACCATTACTACAAAGAGTTTCAGAAATGGCTTGTGATTTGGCTTTATTTCATTAGGTGATTTGTTTTGGGGAGTCCTAAAAGGTCCTTGACTTTCTGTGACTGGCCTAGTCAGCTTTTTCTGAAAACAAAACTCCACTAATGCTGTCACTACATTTAAAAAATCTCAGCCAATTTGCAGGTGCATGAACATAGCAACAGACACAAACACATAGATACAGACATATGTATTTCACATATACTATATACAGAACAGGAGGTGCTAGTCTTTTCTTGAACAAGGCATGCAGTTCTCAGTGCCTCAAGTAGATCTCTTTCATTTAACCACAAAAAGAAATTAGGGTCTGTTTCTGACTGAGGAATAGAGTCTATTTTATACAATACATATGATCCCCTATCAGCTGACTATTTCTCAAATACATCAAAATAATTTGAACATTCCTTTTTTTTTTTTTTTTTTTTTTTTTTTGTTATTACTTCTCCAGCCTACTCTTGAGTTTGCAATAGTGACTGATATGTTCTCAGACAAGCAGATGGGAAAATGGCCTGTAAATCTTTACTGTTATAAATGGTTTGTAAAACTTTGGATGTTGAAAGGTAAGAGTAGTTCAAATAAATCTCAACAATGCTGACTCAAAGGTTCAAAGCATTGCTTAAATCCCTTGATTAACCTAGCTTCTCAATATTTGACATGAATCAATAGCTCTGAGATGTCTTTGCTGTTCTCTAGTTTTGTAAATATTTACGCAGCCAGTCCCATGAAATACGACATTTAATCCCGTTGAAGTAATTCTCTGTATGCTGCATATGCAGACATATAAAGTATAATAGTTCCAGTGATGGCAGTTAAATAATTGGCACTGAGGATGAAATATGCTGCATTTCTTTTGTCAATAACCAGGATTTATACAACATAAGTGTGAGTGAATGGAAAGCAAAATCCACCTTCTGTCACAAATCTTGGGCTAGCTGCTGGGAATGCGGATTTTCTGATCCTGGCTTGTGACTGGGCCTGTGGCTCACCACTAACAGCAGCCTTTTGTTCCAGTTAAATGAGGTGTTGAGAGTTAGATCAAGGTAAATAGTGAAAAAGGATGGCACCTCTAATTAGCTTGTCCTCAGCCTTCTCTTTCTGGGATGTACTATAATGAATGGTCTGTGCACTTCTGGGAACAGAAAGATACTCTACTCAGAGTTTCCGTGACCTGGGAAAACCTTCTGTAGGAATCTTGGTGCAAAAGGGTTGTACCAGCCCTCCAGATCGTGGCTGGGATTCCTGCTAACATACAAGATTCACGACAAGGTTTATATTTAAACGTTTTAGCTTAAGAAGTACAGTGATATGCTTGTTCCTAAGACACCGCACTTTTAGTCATTGTTTACTGATTCAGTCTGATTCATCTGTGGATTCTGCCAGGTTTTGCAGTTGTACTCCTTGCCTTCTATTCCAGAAGAAGTAGGGGTTGGGGAATAATGAGGAAGCAGAGGAAAGATCACAGTGGCTCAAAAGATTCAGAGTTGGCCAACAAGAAATCAGAAGCAGATCCTCCTTTAGATATCCTCCATTCTCATGCAAAATTGGACCTTTCTGTGCTTCTAGGATGGATTCCTATCCTATAAGAGAGTCTAGAATATCATGTTTATTGACTTTCCTATAAAGAGATGAGAGAAAAGGTGTGCCTAGTTCTCAAATCCATAATAAAGGCCTTATTTCTATGGAATTTTTCAAACAGTAATCAAAAACCCCAAACATTTTTACAGGTTCTTTTAAAATTGTTCCGTAGCTTAAAGGCATCCTGCCTGTTAAAAAGTGGAGAAAAAGGTTGTATTCTGTGTTAAATACTTAGAAGTGTTGTAGTTTCTTTTTTACTTTATGATGCCAGAACCCTTAAGAACCCTTCAGTGTATGAGAAAGTCTTCATGCAGAAGTACTACGGTGGTGCTGTGCTTCTGTAACCCAGTTTGACCACTGCATAATCCAAGCAGAGAGATGTATGCTCAAAGGGACAGTGCAGCACAGAAAAGGTGATGTGGGAAGTCAATGAAATTACTGCTAGTTTTCCTGAGCTTATGCAGCCCTTAGAAGGTGTTTCTGCCTATATATCCACAAATATATACAATTCTGGTTGAGACAAAATTCAGATAATTGCGTTTGGATTGCTAATGGATTCTTCTTCAGCTTTGTTTCCGTGTTATGTATTATTGCTTGTCTTACTGACTGTTTCTCCCTTCCTAAGCTAAGACTGAGTAGAATCTGCAGAATGTCTCTTACATACTCATATATAAAGGGATATACTTTGAGGTACTTTGGAAGAAAAACATTATGTTTATGTAGAAAGTTTTGCATTTTCAGCTACACTCATTTGAAGGCCCAAGAGTTTTGAAGAGGATTTGGTCCAGCTGGAAATCAGACTAGAGATGGTATATCAGAAGATGAATTAAAACTTTCAGAGCTGAAACTATAAAACTAATTATCTTGGTCAAGAAAAATAAAAATCTGATAAGTCACTCCAGCCAATTAATATTAATCTTTCGAGAGCAAGTTAACAAGTACATTAATAGCGTTGGGACAAATTAATAGAGGAGCCTTATGTGCATAGATATTTGCTCAGCCAACCAAAGTTCCTCAAGGTTCAGCTGCAAGTCTGGAAACGTAACCACTGGTGTCTAAAATGGAAGACATGGAAATAGGTGTTTGTTTTGTTATTTGGTGTTTTTTTTTGTTGTGTGGTTTTTTGTTTGTTTTTTTTTTTTTCCCCTACATTGTGTGGTTTACCAGAAAAGCAAACAAAAAAAAGGCCACAGGTAATGGTCATGGAGTGGTTGAAGGGCATATGCCTTCACTCATCACAAAGTGAAGATATGTCAAAGATATGTTGCTTCAGCTGCAAAACATACATGCAGGCATCACTATGTACCTGGCAGCTGTGAGCATTAAGTGATCTGATCAATCTTTTCTGTATCTTTTAAAAATAATAATTATTTGTACTTAAAAGGAGTAACATTTTGTTCTCCACATCTGCGGAACAGATTATATTTTTTTTTGCCTCTGATGCACAGCAGAACTCAGAATTCTTATTGCAAAAAAAGGCCAGAGAGCAGACGAGATGAAATGACAGATTCAGGTAAAACATGAGCAGCCAGCTCACAACAACCAAGTTCAGTGTGTGACAATCTTCCTGCTCTTCCCTAGGGACTGAGCAGAAACGTTCAAGAAGGAGCAGAAGGAAACAGCTGCCAACAGGTGAGTATTGGACAAGATTCAAGCCACGGTACTTGCTGGAACTTGGGAGTTTGTGATGGCCTGAGCTTACCCAATGACACTGATCTAAGATGTAGAACCAGACAGCTATCAGTCAGTCCTTAGCTATGAGGACCAGAAAAAAACTGTTGTGGAACAGAAGACATGTACAAGGCATTCTCTGAACAAGCCACCCGAGCTTATTTCTCAGAGAAGTCCTATGGTGAGAGGAATTTTTAAGCTGTGGTTGCTCATAGTAATAAAGATAAAAGAACACTGCTAATGTATTTTTCGTGAATGTGTCTATCCCATAATTCATTCACTCAAAATGGGGGTTTCTCTTGACCTTGAGCTAAGATTTAACAGGTGGGGAAAAGATAAATTTAGGAAATCCAGTGATGCAATGCTGCTACTTTTATGTCTTCTTGCATATTTTCTAGCATACCGTGAAGAACAGTAAATGGCAAAAACTAAAGTGTCCTTGGCAAACAAACAAACAAAATAGCACCCTGTGATATTTTTACCTTTGCTTCCCCTCACCACACATACTGTTTACTCCCACAGAGCTTGAAATATTAACCCAGCATGTTAATTTATTTCTTCCAGAGTTGCCCTGGCCATTGGATTTAACATCTCTCTTGGAAGTACTTCAAACCAAATGGCTGGCTCCATCTCTAGCTCTGTTAATTAGGCACATTACTTTGTTGCTTTTTTCATATCATTTAATGTAATTGGCATTTGTGAAGCTTTGGAAAGACATGCTTGGGACTACATTTTGTGCAGCTGGCTTTGAACTGCAAGCTGCTTCGAGTGTCTAGTTCTGTAGAAGACAGCCTTCAAGAGCGTAGAGCATGTGTGCCCAGCACATACCGTGCTTCCTTCCCAAAGGGAATGAAGCAAAGAGTATGACACAGGACAATCTCCTGCACACATTTGTATTTCTTTGGTATTATATCTCTAATGGGAGCATTACGTGCCCCTTTTGAAGAATGGGACTCCCTTTACAAGCTGTTGTATAAATGCTTTGCTCTAGGATGGTCTGACATCCTAACCACCTTTAGGCAACTCATAGGGATACCTTGCCATCTAGGCACAAAAGTCTGTGTTTTTCTACACAGAAGTGCATCTTTGAAAGCGATGAATTTGGACAATGTTGCCAATACCGTTGTCAACTGCTGATAAGGGTAGGAATTCAGCTCATTAATTTCAGTTGTCTTGGTGTGAAATGATACTCTGTACCTGAATTGAGGAAAAGTTAAGTATAAAAGTTCAGGGGGAAAAAAAAAGCACATGTATACACTAAAGAAATGATGTCCAAGTCTTCTTTTTCATAGAAATGCTGCCCTCCAGTGGTATGGGAAAAAAGCATACCTATTGCTTACTGACTGCAGTAATGTAGTTTCCACTTACACTGCAGCAAATAGCGATCAAAGGTGCCTCTTAGTACCACAGGCACATGGATTGTCTAGGCTCCAGCCTCAGGAAACCCACAGGTGGCATAAGGCCAGGTAAAGACATTCATAACAAAAAGGTGTTGCAACCTGTCATAACAAAAGAGGCCCACTGACTCTTCTGTGAACAACCAACTGAAAAAACCTCATTCTTGCAAATGGCAGGATCATAATAGTCTGTCCCACAGTGACAGTCGAACCCCCTGACTTCAAACAGAACCACTTGTAAGAAAACATCATGAGTTGGATGAACAGGTCTCACAGGACATTTGCTCCCAAATGTGATGGATTGTCACTGAAAAAAACCAGCCTGGCCCAACAGTCAGACAGACACAGAGTTCTGCAAGCAGGGGTTGTCAGTGAACCATCAGGATCCTTCTGCCCTCGCAGAGCATGAATCCCAAGCTGCAGATAAAAAACAAGTTCTCTGGGTTTGTCTTTCAATCATGGTGGCCAAGTGCATTTGTGTTAGGATTCAGAAGTAAAGCATCAATGTGAAAGAAAGGAATGTTGTATGGCCAAAGTGTAAGGTGGATGATCTTTAAGTATGTGGCCTCTGTGCTTGTTTACCTTTCCCTTGTGTGGCTTCAAATGGTCTTTCCAAGTGTACAAGACTGTTTCTCAGCTTGTCCTGTTCTACACCTGCCTGTTAGATGAAGGCTACTGTGCTCGCTGAGATGATTTGGGCCCTGCTGAGGACTTAGCCATCAGAGAATCGCATCATGGTGCCGCTGTCATCTCCTGTTCCTGTGCATCTGTCCCACCTGCCTTCTGGGAAGCAACTTATCTCCCCCAGGGCAGCTCACAGCACAGGCCATACAATGCCTTCAGAGACCTTCCATGTTCTCCCTACTTTTGCCTTTCTTTTTTACTTAAAACAAAGAAAAATAGAACAGTACCCCGACATCTGTGCAGTATTAAAAAAACAAATCCCCACAACATACTATTTCTACAATGTTTCTCTTTTTCTCTCTCTTTCTGGCAGGGAAAAGGTTTTTCCAGCATATTTTTCCTCCCGTTCCTAATGTATGGAGCTCCAGGTGTTGGCTGAACACCGTGAATATTTTTTACTGTTTTTCCACCAAGAAATTTGAATTCACCGAGACGATTTCAGAAAGGCCTGCAATGTCCGTTTTACCCAGAAGATGGTGCTGTTGGATCAAAAAACAGGCTCAAGGTCAGCTCAGGTGGGTTAGGGAGGACTGTGTTTCGGAGGGTTTCAACAGTTCTAGGATTTTATCCAGCATCTCCAGATCTGGTCCCTTGAGACTGTGAGATCCCCTTTTACAGCCACAGCCACACAACACTAGGTGACTGTGCTGAGACGCAGACTCTGAGTCAATCCGACTCCAAGAAAAATACCAAGAACACCCCGACCGCAATCACAACCTCCCTCAATCTTCTGATTAAGTGGGTTATTGTTTGTCAGACTTTTAATGCATTTTTTTATAACTAGTTGAAAGCTTCATTTCATATGCAGTATGATCCTCCCTGAATGTGGGGTTGTTCATCAAGTCTTACATGAAATAACACACTTGATGCTGCTAAGATGCGTGTAGAAGATAAAAGTCACAGATATTTTAGAGAGAAAATGTGAGTTCAGTGACATGCTGACTGTATTATTGGGAACACCCTAACATTTTCTATCACCCTGTGGTTAAGGAATAGATCAGTTTTCACTATTAAACTTAAAATGTTGAGGTCTTTATTCAGAAGCGTGCGTGTATGCAAAAGATAGATTTCTGGGTCTGCAGGGAAATTTCTGGGTTGATTCTACAGGCCAAGGTAGCTTTATGCCAGGCATGTTTCTCCTTCTTGGTGGGACCTGGGTGGGAGAGGACAATCTGGAGGCTCTTCTGCATTACACTAGGGGCCATTCTCTCCCCCACTAGCCCCGATACGTCAAATATTGAACGGAGAGCCACTGGTCTCCACTTAATGACATTCCCAGTTGTGCAACAAAACTTTTGAGAAGGGAGTGTGCTGCATAGATCAAGGAGAAAAAGTCTTGACTCTTTGACAGTTTTACTGGAAAATGGGTGATTTGAAAGGCTGAGGGAGGGTGAGCTGGGAAGCATTAATAAATAGTGCTTAATGATGTACTCTGGTATGCCTCATGAGACGATCTCTGGGGCGGTTGGTGTGTGGGCCTATTGTCTCAATCCTACACTCTCTCACACACACTGAATGCAGATTGTGTTGTCGAAGATTTGCATTCTGAGTGTACAAAGACCACGTTACCTGCTGTTAGCGAAGCCAAGATTGCTGTATGCAAGTTATGCAAAATGACCTTCCTACCATCTCCTGCTATCACAGGCTCTGTGTCAGCCACACATTTTGGAAATGTTGTGGATTCTCACCATTATTACAGGGATAGTTTCTGGTTTGTATATTCAAGATCAGGTGGGCAGTAAATCCTGACAGCTTGTTCAGTGTGGCTGTGCTCATGTCCGGCAGATCCGAAGGCGTTGTGCTAGAAATGGGTCAGCGAGCAGAGTGCAAGCAAAGGGGCACAGCAGGGAGCTCGTCAGGGCTGTCCCAGGCAGTATTACGTGCATAGTTTGAAACTATTCCTACAGAAGTTGTAAGTTTTGACACTGATTTCAAGTAAGAAAATAATATTTTTTTTTTAAAAAAAAGGGAAGCATTTCTTCTCATTCACATTTGGGTGGTATCAGGTACAAACATTTGCTTGTCCACTTTTGAATGTAGTTCTTCTGAAGATGATAATATCATTTTTATGAGTAAAATGAGCAGATTTTGCTCTTTGCGCAGTTTGATTCTTTCAAATATCTCTTCAAAATACAAGCTGTATAATGAGAATTGTTTTTTCTTCCACATTCAGTGGGGATTTGTAAGGTCTTTATCTTGTGTTTAAAGTGACAAGTCATCTTAAGAGAGCAGAATCTGGTGCAAAGTAATTGCCAACATTTTTATTTTTTTTTCTACAGATGATAAAAGGAAAAAATATACTAGGAATAGTTCATATATTTCTTTTACCTAAAATTGAATTTTCGGTATGTGAAAAATTTATGTAGCAGCTTCAATCATAATGTGGGAAATGGCGTATAAAATAATTTTTTAAAAACAGCAACTTTATTGCACTTCTTTGTTGTGAAATATTGAAAGTAGAAAAAGGATCCTCCTCATTCTCATATTTGCAAATGACTTGATGAAATTTAAAATCAAAGCAGCATATATATGTGAGGTATAAATTTATTCCTCTTCACTTTTTCCATAGCAATAGTCTGAATAAGATAAAGCAATAATAGTGGTTTTGTCATGCAGCCCCAGTAGGGCTTTCTTAAATAACCAAATCAAATCAAACATTCCTAAGATACACACTTACCTTTATGCTCAAAGACAGCTACTTTCCTTTTATTGTTTGTAGCTGCAGGACTTTCCCTTTGGAGATAGCGTTTCACAGAAAACATCAGACAATTCTAATACCTCTAGCAAAAAGCTCCAAACCCATGTTCAGGCAGGCTCTGTGCTATCCTGCTAAGACAGTTCAGGGAAAGGAAGAGTCTGGTTTGCAGTCACCCCCAGTTTCTCCCAGTCTCTGCACATCAGTGCAGTCGGAGGGATTCTGATTTTTCTTTAAATCACAGGGTGTTTCTTTAGGTGCCCTGTCCTGCAGAATACTGAACTGGAACCTGTGTGGTATAAACCGAGGATTTCAGGCTATTGGTGTGTTTGCAGTCTGTGCTGGAGTGTTTCCGTGTACACCAAGCTAGACTGCAGTTGGTCATCTTGTAGGATCAGCCCTAAATGCCTAAACACACCTTCAGGAGCCCAGTTTAAGACCCAAAGTTTGTAAATGTTGGATCAGTCTTGTATCTGCTCCTCAGGTCTGCTTCTGTTCCCTGCCACTGTCTGAACTAAACTAAAGCTCTGAATCCAAGTATTTCCAGCTCTGAAATACTTGCACATAGGCTGGGATATACTTCTGTCAGTAACATGCCGTTCTCTTGATGCCCAGCAGAGTAGAGTAACTTCAGGCATTTGTTTTAAATATATTACCTTAGAAATAGACAGGAAGAAATTAAGCAGGGAACAAATTTTCCTTACTTAAGTTAAAAAATAAATATAGCTGTAACTTAAATGCGTCTTTATCGGCATTGATGCCCTTTGGCTTTACTCCAGTGGACTTTTCTTGTTGACATCAATGGGAAAAAGATGGACTCTGCATAGGAAATCCATGAATATTTTTTTCTTCTTCATTCATCCATCTATTTTGGGATGTGCTAAATGCTTGTTCTCTGTTGTAACATTAACATCAGTATGTGGAAACTTGGGTTGCTAAAATAAATCAGTGAAATGTAATATACATGACTCCACATGGAACTGCATGTACATTGTTGAGCACAAGCGCCCCGTGTCCGCTCTGCCATGCCAGCTGTACAGCCAGGTACACCCTATTGTGTCCCACAAGTGCGTGTTGTAGTGAGGCAGGCATGAACTTTGTGCTGCCAGTACGTGTAGAGTTGTTGTAGAGCTGGCAGAATATTTCTTGGTTGCTATTCACATGACAGTAAAACTAAGAGTTTTACCAGCCTCAGAGAATGGGGCTGGCAAGGTCTATAGTATTTCACAAAAGTATCTTTTGCATGGTGGACCTGACTGAGTGTTTGGAGGCAACGAAAATTTTAATTTTGATGTGCAAAGCATTCTTTTGTGAGGCTCTAACTGTCTCTCTGTGGTTAGTGATATTGGCTTCAAACTAACCTGGGACATTTTTCGGACCTTAGTTGAGACCCTCCTGATTCATGCTATTATGAATTAGTACATTCTGAAGTTCATTTATTTTTTATTTTTAATGGAAAAATGGAAGGGATAAAATCAACCTTTATGGGCTGGACTTTTTTCTGCCCACAGTGAAGCTAATGGGTGACCTTTCCAAAGATGGACTCCGAGGCAGGACTGGCCCTGCAATACCTTCATCAAAGTTCCCTCAGATCCGTGGGAGCCTGGCCTGCTCTGCAGAGTGGTCCTGTGCCTCGATGCTGATTTATCATCCCCCATGGTCACAAGCATATGGATGAGGAGGGATCCCCGTGGCTGCTACCATCCCTGCCCCCTGGCTTCGGGTAAGACAGCAAGTTTGGAGCACACCTCCGCCCCAGGAGGATGGGGAAGCAAATGCACTGTCCTGCTGGGCACAAGGCTGCTCACTCCTCTCCTCTCCATGGAGCACTGATCTTCAAGGCCCCCACGACTAAAGGAGTGGGAGTCATTCCCCTGGAATTATCCATTCCCTCTTTCTTTTTTCCTACTTAAGAGGTAAGAGCTGTGCAAATTCCCTCTTTAGTAGTCATCTAAGAGAATAAGACTGATCTGTCACCAAAGTATTTAGAGCTGATGATGGTATCTGGGTTGGTTTGAGGTTTTTTTTTATTGTGATATTTAAACAAAATCCATAAATCAAAGGGATATGACAAGAAATGGGTTGTTTCACACTGGCTGTAGCTGCTGGTTATTCTTGTCCAAATGTACAGAAATGCCCTGATGGTTACTTACCAATGACAACCTGCTCAGGGCTTAACATTTTTCAGTCTTGTGGCAAGGTTATGCACATATACTGAATGAAACATAGCTCACTGGTTATTTTTAGAGAGGCTCTAAACAAGAAGTAAATCCCTGGAGTAGTCCTGCCAGAGATGCGTAAAGTTCAAATCCAAATTAAAACTGCCTATCTTTGGTCTAAATTCCAACCTGAACTTGAGAAAAACTGTGAAAATCTATACATTGAACTTTATGACAAAAAATCTTTTGGAATTGTTTTCTAATACCTGAGGATATATGAACATGGTACAAACACTTGGAAATGAGAACTTGAATGAAAAATCTGAACATTTGTCCAAGAATGTAATACCCGGTCTTGCAGACAAGACACTGTTGTATGACTAAGTTATGGTAGCTGTACAGGAATTTGGAGTCTAATTTATTGTGATTCCTAGTTCTAGCACATATTTGTAAGACCAAGTCCCATAATGTAAACTTTGGTGGGAGGAAGAGAAACATGCTTATTTACCTTACAGATCTCTCCAGTAATGACCTCTGATGTGCAAGACTTGGTTTAGAAATCACCGAGATAGAATATGAAGGAAGTAGATCCCTCTTCAGCAATATATTTATGTGAAGTAGTTGGAAGTAGTGCAACTGAAGCATGTTCTTGATTTCTTTGCTGAATCAGAGCCTGTATTTTCTTCCTGCCAAGGCAGTGATCTTAATCCCCCTTCTAAATGCACCAGTAATTCTAGAAGCCCTAATGAAAGTCAAGATAATGCCACAGATTTTATAAATAAGGGTCTTTATTTAGAATACTGTTGAAAACATTCTTGGCAACCACATCGTATAAATATATAAAGTTTGACACAACAAACCAAGCAATATTAAATATTTTAAATTTTTTTTTTTTCCATTTTGTGTTTAATTTTTGCTTTTGGTTCTTTTTTTTATTTCTTTTCCTCTTTTTTCCTTTTTTTGCAAAGCAACTCTTATTTACAATTATACAAAAAGTTTTATAAAAAATGGTCCACAACCTTATTTTGGCCAGAATAGGAGTAATAGGAAGGATCTGTCATGCCACTACTGTCGTAGATTTCTATTCTCCACATTCAAAGAGCCAGGTTCCTATTCCCCAAAGCCCAGGATTAAACATTGGCCATTTCATGGTATACAATTTTATCTCTAGACATATTAAATAACTTTAGTTTAACAACCAATAAATAACTAGGTGTATTTTGAAGTAATACAGGTTTGAGAATTTATATATTTGAAGGAATTCTGAGTGATATTTTAAAACTGGAACAAGTCTTGAAAAGTCTTTTCAGTCTCAGAAGGCAGGTCTTGGAGCGTGGCTGAACGGAGCAATTTGTTTTCAGTGCAGTCCAGCTGGACCTGCCTTTATAGCACTTGGTAGATAGGGTTGCTGCTGCTGCTGCTGTTATCCTGGGGAAGCGGGGTGCAGTTGGTGGGGGAAGGAATTTGGGCTCCGCTATCGTTCAGACTCGCTCCTTCTGGGGGGGAGCAGGGACTCCCTTCAGCAGCAGTTTCCACTGGAGGCAATATAGGACATGTGGAGTTATCTGTGGAAATCCTCTCTACAATGCTTGAGAGGCAATCAAGGCTGGAAACGACAGAACTCTTCCCAAGCTTTGGATCTAAAAAAACAGACAAAAAGCTGCTCAGTTTATCCAATGGGTACTAGACATCAGTAGGATGTGGTTCTTTCATAAAACCCCAGTGAGTAGCTGACAGTATGCATCTGTGAGTGTGGAAAAATTCAGAGGAAATGAGTATTGGTGGAGGATGCCAATTATCAGAAAACAGAGATTGTAATTTGAAAAGTGGAAGAGAGACCCAACCCAAGTATGCTACTTCTGGGGCAGGGCTGTGGATCCAGGGCTTCACTTCAGTCCATAGAAGGGAAGGGAAGATTTTAAATCAGCCAACAGTTTCTCCAGTTTGGATCAATGATAGACAGAGTTAGAAAAGTATTAATGCAAAACATGGTTAAACACCAAAAATTATTTGAAGAGAGGAAAATATTTTGATCCAGATGTCATATCTGCAAAATAGGTAATGCAGCTCTAACACATCCCCATATCTGCAAGCACATCTAAGAGGAAATCTAGTGTTTCTATTAGCATCAACAGCTCGCTGGCTGAAAAGCAGGTTTCTCTTTCAGCCCAGCTGGGCTCAGCTAAACAACTGGGGACAGAGAAGGCACCGGGAAGTTTGCTGCATTGACTGCCTGGTCTCCACGTTTCACACGGCTGTTAGGGCACATACTCACCATTCGGTGATTCTGTGTAGTAGCTGCTGTCGTAGCTGTTTCTTCTGCGAGAGCTGCAAGGAGGCCCGCTGTACTCCATCTGGAAAGGAGAGCAATCTGAGTGAGGTCACTGGTTGGGGACAGCATTTAGTGAAATCCCAGTAACCACCCAATTTCAAATTTCAGTCCCTAGTCTGTGCCATCATTCCAGTCCTGGCTGAAATGCCATCAAGTTGTAGTTTGTTTGAATGAGGCAGAATTTAACTTGGCTAGAAGGGGATTTACCCCAGAATATTTTATGTGGCACGGCTGTTCCAAAGGAAAATTACCACTGTTGTTGTATCGAATGCTGTAGCTTTACAAATGAAATGAGGTTTTCCAGCATTCGGATTAGATACTGCCCTACAGTTTACAATAGGGAGACCAACACGGTAATGAGGTTTTTTCATTTAATTTTTGAAGGTTTTTACAAACACAAGTTCCTCTTTCAAAGCTTCTAGTCTACCTTTATCCCTTGTTATTTCCTTTAGTTTCTCTTCCCATATCCATTTTGTCCAGAAAAGGCCCCAAAACATTGACCAATATATTTGTTTCAAATACTTTAATCCACAATGAAATTTTCTGACAAAAGAAAAAGGCTGTATTCTGAGGAGGGATAATTTGTGTAAATCTTCTCTCCAATCTGCCAACTATCTAATAATCACAGATATTCAACTCGGTAATGATTATCCCTACCACAGCAAAGAAAAAAATTTCAGGTCTTAAAGTACTGTCAAGATCCCATCCCAGATCGCTGTCCGGCACTCCTGCTGTCACCGCGTCCCCCAGCCCAGAGTCAGCCCAGAGTCTGAGTCTATGGTCCTGGTGAAAAGTCGGGTGATGAGACACCATCTCTGGCACCCACCCTTCTCCCCTCCCTACAACATACAGGACTGAAAGCCTGGGATCTCCTTCCTATTGCTGGTAAATGTCTACAGAGGGGATGAAGTGCAAGGAGAAATGGAAAATCTTTTTCCTAAGGGTCAAGAAAAACAGCTCCTGTTGCTTAGACCCTCCTCCTGTTATCATGATGAATGGCAGAAAACAAACCCCAGACACTTACCAGTTCCCCTGTAACTACCATGACCAAGGGGGACCTTCCTCTCTGCTGTTCTTAGAGAATTCAAATGATACAGCAGAAGGTGGAAATGGAGATGCCCCAGGAGCTACGGGAGCACAGGCAGGGCTCAGACCTCACCTGACTCCAGGTACCCATCCCAGGCAGCTTCTCAAAGTGCCCCCCAGCAGCTCTCCCCTGCTCCCCCAGGACACAGGGGGACCTCCCTAACTTTGCATCCCAGGGAAAGAAGTCTCTTTCCCAGAGACCTTGGCATGTGGGGACACCATCTCCCTTTGCTGCCGGAGCTCGAGGGACTTTGACTTCTGCCTGGGGAGCTACGAAAAGGAGCTGCTATAGGAAGGCCAAGAGGAGGCAACTCGCCCCGCTCAGGTTTGGACCGACAGTGTCTGGGGCACCTCGGCGGCAGGGTGTCCTCCCCGGGGCACTCACCATGCCATCGGAGCAGTTGGAGCGAGGGCTGGAGGCGTCCGATTCCCCGCTGTAGTGCTCCAGCACCGGGTAGTAAGCGTCCTCCTGCTCCCGCAGCAGCGCCTGCAGGCTCTCGATGTAGCGGATGGCGTTGCGCAGGATCTCCACCTTGGGCAGGCGCTGGTTGGGGTTGGTGGAAGTGCAGCGCTTGAGGGTCTCAAAGGCCTCGTTGACCTTGCTGAGCCGCCGCCGCTCCCTCATGGTGGCGGCTTTACGGCGGTCGGCGTTGGTGGTCTTCCTCTTGCAAGCCTTGCAGGCCCACAGCAGGCAGCGGCCGGCCTGGTGGTGCCCGCTGGGCGCACGGACGTGCTCCTCCTCGTGCGGGTGCCCGTGGTGGTGCCCGTGGTGGTGCGGGTGCTCCTCGGGCTTCAGCAGGCCCCCGACGTGCACCAGCCGGGGGTCCAGGTCCTCGAAGAAGTGCATGTCCGACGTGTTGAAGCACGGGTCATCGTAGAAGTCATCAGCGGCCGCGAAGGAGCAGAGGGAGCCCTCCGTCATCTCCATGGGGCCCAGTAAGTCCATGGGGGCGGCGGAGGAGACGGTGGCAGGGCCAGAGGGGGTGAGCGAAGGGATCGGATGAGCGGGGGCTTCGCTCGGGCTGTGCAGCGGCAGCCCCCGGCCCGGTGGGTGCGCGGAGCGGAGGCCCTCACACCCTG